ACAAAAAAAAAAAAAAAAAAAAAAAAAAAGGGAAGTTATTTGAAAATTACTGGTGACACACCCCCAAAAACCAGGGTTTTAACAGTGCATTGGAAGCCACTAAACTAGATGATCTCACTTCTTTCAGCTTTGACCCTCCCCAGTCTTGAAGGGCAAGGCAGAATCCCCCCAACACATTAAATGTAAAAGGAGGGAAAGGGCCTACTCTCTCCCCACCCACCCCTACCCAGCTCTGCACCCAGCGGTTAGCATGTCTATCCTGCCTTGGAATTTCCAATGACTTTTCCTTGTCCTATTAGATGGTAATTTCCAAGGGGGTCAAAACCCCTTAAAATGCAAATAGCTGACCCTCAATTAATGCTCCCTGAATGGAAGAGGCTGGAGCTGGTTGGAATGGGGAAGAAGAGTAAGAAAAAGACTATAGCAGAAGCTATAGAAGAAAATCTTGATAGATTTAACTACAAAATATTAAAAACCAGCATGTCCCCAGACCCAATAAACAATGGTCATTGTGTGGCACATGTGCCATCCCCTGCCGCCCCAAATCTATGATAGCCATCTCTCTTTTTTTTTGGCCACATCTTGTGGCATGAGGAACTTCCCACATCGAGGATCGAACCCATGCTCCCTGCAGTTGAAGCGTGGAGTCTTAACCAAAGGACCACCAGGGAAGCCTTTTTTTTTCTTTTTTTTTTTTAATTTAACACTACCTTTTTTTTTGGTAGCCATCTCAGAAAATTTTTTTAAAGCCAACTCATATACCAGAGTTAACAGTCTTAATATATTAAAATTTTTTACAGGGAATTCCCTGGTGGTCCAGTGGTTAGGACTCCACGCTTCCACTGCAGGGGGGCATAGGTTCAATCCCTGGTTGGGGAACTAAGATCCTGCATGCCACATGGTGGTGGTGGTGGGGGGAATACATACATACATACATACATACATACATATATATATATATATATATATATATATATATATATAAAGAGAAAGTAGACAGAGGACATAAAGAGAAAACACATACAGCAAAGATTTTTTTTAAGGGTCTCAGATACAGATATTCAATGCCCAGCTCCAGCTCCCCACACCCATGTGGTGGTGCTTCCCCACTGCACTCAATGGGCACCACAGATGTTGGCATTTGATCGGACACAATTGTGTCGTGTCTGCTTTGTTTACCTCCCCTCCATGCCAGTGTAATTCTGAGTCCCTAAGAAGCAGGCTAATGTACAGTCCACTAGAGGAGAGGTGAAAAGACCTAAGTTGTGGCTCCGCTACTTACTGGCTACTTGACTATGGACAAGCCCCTTCACTTCTCAGAACTACAGTTTACTCATCCATAAAATAAGCCCCCAAATGCCTGCCCTGTCTGTGTCAAAGAGATGTGTTGGTTCATTCATTCAAACAACTACTGAGCCAGGCCCTGCACTAAGCACTGGGCCTGAAGAGATGCAGGAGACCCAATTCTAGTTCTCGGTGAAATAAAATCACAGATATGAAAGTGCATCCAAATATAGGGGAGCATTACTGTTACAACACAGTAGGTAGCTGATAACGGTTTGCATGACATGTAATTCAGGCAGGATGTCATGTATCCGGACGTTTTAGACCCTGAGAGCTCGATATGACAGACCCACAGCCCTGACTTTCCTTCTAAACCCAGTGAGAGGGACATGAAAACTTGACCCACAGAGGAGGGAACTGCCAAACCGCCCCCAGCCTGGAGGTTTAGACAATGAATGTGCCCGCCCTGCTCCCTGCGCCTGAGGACAACAGGGGGAAGCTGAGATCCACTGGGAGCCACAGAGGGTGAGCAATGGGTCCCACTAAGAGTTCAATTCCCCCAACCATCCTCTGCTCCTGGACTTCTGGGACCTCCCCCTGGCCAAGCCGAAGAGCCAAGATGAAGCTGCCATTCTCCTCTCTTCCCACCGCAGAGTCCAGTCCTGGCATCCCTGCCAGAGGGATAACGGAAAAGCTGTTGACATCTGCAGGGCTGTAGCCATCAGGAGTCTTAAAACCACTCTGGAAAACTCACACCAGGCTTGAACTCCCCTGGACCTTGCTTCCTTCCCTCCCCTCCCTCTCAGAAGTGAAAAATAGTAAGAATAAAAACAAAAGTAGGAAGAATCAATTAAAATCACTCCTAATTCTAACATCTAAGGACAACTGCTCTGGACCTGATGCTACATATCCTTTCAAACTCTTTCTCAGGCAAATCTTTACATAAAATGGCTAAGATGCCATTTATCTCTCACTTTATGTGCCAGGCACAGTGAGGATTAGAGGCAGCATCTCATTTAACCCTCATACAATGAGACACAACCACCCTAGGATGCAGGTTCTATAATAGTTTCCATTTTACACAGTGAAGAAACTGAGGCCAAGGAGGTAAAACTACTTGCCCATGGTCACTGGGCTGGTACTCAGGGGAGCCACATCTGGAACCCAGGTCTGTCCTAACACCGGAGGGGAAGCTCCCACCTGCAGCCCAGGTTCCCACCAGTGTCACCTGAGCCATGGCCACAGTACCTGTCTGGGCTGAGGTTCTGGCCAGTGTCAAAGGCTCGTGCCACCAAGATCATGGACTGTCTGTCGCCAGCTTCAGCTGCCTTCAGTAAGTAATCAAATCCTTTGGTTTTATTCTCTTCTGTCTCCTGTTAACACAAACCAAAGACGGGGAGAGAAAAGGAAATGAGGCTTACATGGGAGGGGCTGCCAGAATCTCTCATCAATCTCTTCCCTATTTCTTGAATTGTTTTGAGAGCTCCAGGCTGGGGCTGCTGTAGAATTGCACATCGTGAGAAAGAGAACAGGGCTTCCCCTGCTGCAAAGAGCTCCTGGGGGTTCCCATCAGGCAGGGAGAAATGGAAGCTTAGCTCACTTCCGCTCACTCTCTTCTATCTGCTCTGATTCCTCCAGAGACCACATCATCTCTTGCCTCCAGCAGGGGCTCCCTGCTTCCAATTCTTTTTACATTTTTTAGCACCTTTATTGAGATATAATTCACATAACATACAACTCACTCATTTAAAGTGTACAACTCAATAGTTCTTAGTATAATCACAGATTGTGCAACCAGCACCATAATCAATTTCAGAATATTTTCATCAAGCCAAGAAGGATTCAAAACACCATACCCTCTAACCATTACCTCCCAATTGTTCCATCCCACCCAGCCCTAGGCAACCACTAATCTACATTCTGTTTCTAGAGATTTCCCTATTCTGGCTTAGTTGCTCCATGGCATGTGGGATCTTGCCGGACCAGGGCTCGAACCCGTGTTCCCTGCACCGGCAGGCAGACTCTTAATCCCTGCGCCACCAGGGAAGCCCGTATCCAGTCCCTCTTGATCTCACTCCCTGTCACAATTTCCCCCCAGCACTTAAGAACAATGCTTGGCACAGGCAGTGCTCAATAAAGGTCAGTTATTTTTACTTCTGTTGGAAATATTTTCATTTGTTAATTATTATCTGTATTACAACCTTATCTGCCTGAAAAGTTTGCTGTTGTGAATAAGAACCTAGGACGGTGCCCAGAGTGTAGGAGACATTCAAAAAGCATGTGCTGGATAAACGAATGTCTTAGCAAGACAACAGGAAAAGGTCCTAAGAATAGAGGCTTTGGGGAAAGCAGGAGATGGGCCAGCAGCCTTTCAGGGCATGTGGCCATGGTTTTCTTTGCTGCCAGATTCTGTCCTGGAGGGAAAGGCCTTTGGGACACCTGCAGATGAGAAAACTGAAATAGCATCTACATCCCTTTACAAAGGTGCTCAGGTGCAGCTGATGTAAACAGCCTGAGACCACAGGGAGAGTTACCAGGGAGTCTCAGCGAGAGTGGTCTCCCCAGTCCTGGCCCCTAACCACTCATCCTGGACCCTGGCATTCCTTTATTCAGGCCTCAAACCCTTCTGAGTGTCCTCTCTGTGCCAGACGCTGGGAGAACAGGCCAAACGCAGTGGGTACGCTGGAGCCGGCTCTGCAGACTTGTGAGAACCGATGTGAAAGCAAGCCAGTCGTAAAACACAGCCATTATTAGAAATTAAATTATGTAAACTTACAATTAAATGAAAGGTAACAAATACCCAAAGCTCATCGCTTCCTAATTATTTTACTATGTTTTACTGTTGTCTGTCCTCTTGAGGTTATTTATATCTATTGCAGGGCTTCTCAACCTTGGCACTACTGGCATTTTAGATGACATAATTCTGTGTTGCAGGGACTGTCCTGTGCATTGTAGATGTTTGGCAGCATGCCTGTCCTCTACCCACTAGACGCCAGTTGCGCTCCCAGAGCTGTGACAACCAAAGATGTCTCCAGACACTGCCAAGTGTCCCCTGGAGAAGGGGGAGGCAAAATGACTGGTGGAGAACCACCAGTCTGTGGAATCTTCATGATGGAAATGCTATGTGGAAATGGTGTGCTGTGGTGCATTTCCTCCAACTCCGTGCTCGGCGATGTCATCTTAGTGCTTGCACATTGGCCATGGTAGAAAAAGTTATACCACGAGATGGCAAAAAATATTAATAATGCAGACTAATTTGAAAGTGTGCGGTATCTGTAGCCATTACATTGTGACTAGCACAAGAAACTGGAGAAACATTCTTCAGTATTTAAAACTATCGTCTGATTCAGCAAAGAAGCTGCTCGTATCAGCAGCAAATAAATGAAGTTCCAACTCTGACAAAGGACTTGCTTATTTCACTTTCATCTTACTCACTAAAGTAAGTGAAAGTATCAACCAGTATCTAATGTCAGAACTTCACGCCTCCATCAGCTACAACCAAAGCTGGGCTACAGACACGAGTTCCACAAAAATTAGCAAAGGAATTCTGTGAGGATCTATCGACTATATAGAATTCACAAGAGTTTTATGATTTGTAAACTGTATGCTCCACATTCCTTATATCAGTAAATGTATAATAAACTTACAAGTAGATGTATAATAAACGTGCATACGTATATGTGCAAACATTCCCTCCCCACCTGCAAGAGCCAGTTGTTAAGCATTTATCAGCACACCACTGGCTAAATGAGATATATTCAGTCCACTCCTCAGGGAGCATGGAGACGAGAGAAAGAGGAACAAATCATCTGCCTGTCAAAATCCCCTCCCCCAACCAAGCCTGCCCTTCACCATCTAAAACAGGAAATAAAAATGGCTGTAAGTTAGCCCTGACCGCATGCCAAAGGATGTATTTGACTGAACCATATGAAACTGCCAATATTCTACCTTCATGACCTACAAAAACGGTTCAACTTAATATGTCCAAGTCTGGTCACTGCAGCAATTTTTGAGATATCATAAGAATGGAACCAACCCAAGTGTCCATCAACAGGGCACAGGTTAAATAAAGTACCTGGACAATGGAATGTTACTCAGCTGTCAGAAAGAATGAGGAAGCCATCTCTACAGCACTGAGGGAAAAAGTCTGCAGGACACTGCAGAAATAGGGTCTTTCCAAACAGACAGATGTAACTAGTTAAGATGAAGGCAGACTGGAGTAGGGTGGGCCCTAAACTCCATAGGACTGGTGTCTTCGTAAGAAAAGAGGCACAGAGGCACAGAGACACACACACGGAGAAAAGGCCATGTGAAGATGGAAACAGAGATTGGAGTGATGTACCTACAGACCAAGGAACACCCAAGATTGCCTCCAGTCACTAGAAGCTAGAAAATCATGGCCTGTCAACACACTGATTTTGGACTTCTGGCCTCTAGAACCGTGAGAATGAATTTGTTGTTTTAAGCCCCCCAGTTTGTGGTTCTTAGTTATGGCAGCCCTAGGAAATGAATACCCTCTTGGAATGACATGTGAGAAACTAATAACGATGGTTACCTGTTAGCAGGAGAATGGGAAGGTAGAGGAAAAGGTGGGAGGGAGATTTTTCACTGTAAACCTTTTCACATTAAAAAAACTTTTAGTCACGTGAATGTATGAACTATTTTAAAAGTTGAATAAATCAAGGACTTTTGGGTGCCTTCCCACATCCTCTTCCAGCCTGAGACCCCCCAACCTGCTGGGCCGTGGCGAGGCTCACAGAGCAGGGCTGGTGCCCTGTGCCCACACCAAGCCCAGCCTCGTCCGGCTGCAAGCCTGGCCCACGTGACAGAGAGCTGGAGACATTTATGCTGGGAGCACGTGCACACCAGGGGCCTCTCAGCTCCTGTAAGGAAAGGATCACACTCCCTAGGCCACGTCAGGTCCTGTCCGCTGTGCCCACGGACCAGGGGAGTGATGAGGGAGCAGACACCCTCATGGATTCCCATCACACCCATCCTGCCCGGCCCCCTCTCCAGCCTCATCTCCTGCACCTTGTCTTCACCCTCCACACTCCAGCCGCACTGATCGCCTCCTGTCCTCTCACCCCAACCCTGTCTCCCCAGGGCCTGGGCCCGCGCTGTCCCCTCTGCCCACACTCCCCCTCCCACACTCTGCCTGGCTGACTCCACTTGGGCCTGCAGGTCTACCTTAGGGATCACTTTATTCATTCGTTCCACAAACGAATGCTGATTATCTAGTGTGTGCCAGCTCTGCTCTAGCCACTAGGGACAGAGCTGCAACTGCCAATCAAGAAACCCCAGCTACGGCCCTTCCTCATTTATTTGCAGTAGCAACTTCTGCTTCTCTCCCCGTACCATGTCGCAATTGCCTGGGAATGTGACTGTCACCTTCCACTCAGTCCCCAAGGCCGGAGACCAATTCTATCAGCGTCAACTAACTTGGAAGTGCCTGGTCCCAAACTGATGCTCAGGAAATTTCTGAGGCGTAAATCCAGGGAGGGAAGGGTGATGGGTTGCCTGAGCCCCCGCACCCCTCACCTTCAGAGAGACGTCCGCCAGGATGTGGTGGGGCAGCTGCGAGTACATGAGTCCCAGGCCCACGATGGCCTCCAGCTCGCCGAGGTCGGCCGCCTGCTCCAGGTGGAAGATCGCCGACGCCCGGTCCCACTCCTCGTCCTTCTCGCAGAAGCGCCCGCCCTCATGGTAGCGCACCATGGCCAGATGGACCTGCCACACAGACAGCAGGTGGGCCTGGCTGCCTGGAGGCCGCAGCCGCAGCCGAGGGCCTCCCAGCCAGCCTGGGGGAGGAAGCGATTCTTGGGGGAGGCGCCGGGTTAATGCAGAGAGGGCATCACCATACCTTCCCCAAAATGGACTTCCCGATTCTCTTCTCAAGGTCCAGAGCGTTGAGCCTCTGCACTTCCAGGGCCACGGCTGAAGGCCTCGACAGGTGGAGACGGGAGGAGTTGAGGAGATTCCACTTCTCCACACAGACCTGAAGGGAGGACCGGGCATTTACAGGCCAGAGAAGCGAGGGGCTGGGGACGGACGCACCCTCCCAGCTGTGAAAGTGGGCCTGGCAAGTTAAGGGGCGCGGACCTGTGCGGTGTCAAGTTTTCTTGGACAAACCTGGCTCCATTTCCAGTCACTTGAATTATGCCAGCTTGTGGGCACTGATGGAATGTTGTAGCAACAGGACACAAAGGCTAGCACACTGCACTGCAGCAGTTCAAAGAAGTGTCTCCTCACTTATCCATCTGACTTAGGTCAGGGAGTTTCGACCCTGAGCTGCTCCTCTGCCAGCTCCCCACACAAGGCACCAGAAGAGCCTGACTTCAGACCTGGCAGCAAATCCACTGTGCTTTCCCTGTGCATCCACAGGGTGCTTCAGGAGATGGGCTTAGAAAACACACCACGTCTCTCAGCTAAAAACACCCCTGTCCAAAGTTCTCGCAGGACAGAGCCAGGCTGCTGTGTGTGTTATGTCTGTGTGTACGCACACTAAACAGCCTACCATGCACAGGGCATCCTCCACAAAAAAGAATGACCCAGCCCAGAATGTCAGTGGTGCTGGGATTGAACGACCCTGCCTCTGCACCACACTGTGGCCTTGACCCGACTGAGAAATACCTTGTGGTAAGGAAATACTGCGTGATAAATAATCTGTGTTCTGGAAGCAGTAAGAGTCAGGCCTGCCCCGGGGATCAGGGAAGGCTCCTGGAGAAGGTGCCACTGGGGTCCAGCCTGGGAGAGCAGACAGGCCTGAGGAGATATGGCCACAGGGGAGGGAGGACCTTGCAGGCAGGAGAGAGACTCGCCTTAGCAAAGGCTGGAGGGTGAGAGGTTCAAAATGTGGTTCTGAGTCAGCTAGAGAAGAGCGTTTAGGAGGCTGGTCTTTCCCACACCGGCCTGATGATAATCACCTGAGATACTCCTTCCAACTATTAGCCGGGTAACCTGGGGAGAGTCGCTTAAGACTCTTTTTCTCATACATCAAAAGAGGATGAATAACATTAGCCTGTCTCAGTGGGTGGCTGCAAGAATTAAATTTTGGGGGGCTGCACCACGCAGCTTGTGCGAATTTCCCCAACCAGGGATTGAACCCGGGCCACGGCGATGAAAGCCCGGAATTCTAACCACTAGGCCACCAGGGAACTCTCTAGACGTAAATTAATGTATACTGGAAGGCGTTGTGAGCTGAAGCCTCCAGGACAGGCCATGCTGATCTTCTCTAATTCTCCCCGCTGATCCCGCAGTGTCACACCCAGGAGCTCAAAAAGTATTTGCCGAGGGGATTGGCTCCTTTGCAAAATCGTCCTTTAGGAGACATGTGGAGCACCTGGGCAGGCACAAGTGATATGACGTGAGGGGGAAGAAACAGAAGCAGAGTCTGAAAAAGGCAAGCACGCAGCCACGACGAGGATTCCTGGGGGCACATTACCCGTCCCGAGCTGCCCAGGCTGTCTTCGTCCGACTCATACCTCCGGTTACCGTTTGAGTGGCCCTGATGGAGACATAGATTAGAGTGATCCAAAGAGCAGCCTTCCTCCCAAGAACCTCCTCCTGGGGAACTGGTCCAGCCCTCCCAGGGGATCCTCCTCAGGGAACTGGCTTGGCACCTCAGGAAGCTGGCACCTCCGTCTGCCAAGCAGAGAGGATGCTGGATAACAGGCAGGACTGATGTGCTGGGGCAGCCGCAGCCTCCCTCTCACTCTCACCATGTGCATGGACGGAACCGACTCAAAGGCACAGGATCCCAGCAGACAGGCACCAAGAAAACTGGGCCAAGTGCTTCGCTTAGCCAAAGCCCCCATTGCCTGTCTATACATATTCGCAGTAACAAAGCTGAGACCAGAGGCTCCCGGCAAGACTGCCTGTAATGCGCATGCTCCATTTTGGCACTTGGCAAAACCTCTAAATGGCTGATACTGCCTAAGACCACCCTCACCAGGATGCTGCTGAAAAGATACCGTAAGGCATCTTTCATCCTCTGGAGCCTTCCCGAGGGACTGCTAGAATCCTGTGCCTTTGGGCTGGGCCCTCCCACCTACCAGCACCATTCTGGCCCACTGCCCAGCATCCTCTCTGCGTAGCAACCAGAGGTCCAGCTTCACTGTAAGATGTGTCCGCCATATTCAACCTTGTGTCTAATCCCCCATGCTTGTCCCCTTACTAAACTTACTACTACACATTACTCTGTTTTATCTTCTGCCCTGCAATTATCTTTATCTGAAATGATTTATTTATTAATTTACTTTATGCTCTTACCACCCATTCACATTCCCCCCTCCGTCCCAGCTCTCTATCCTCCTGGACAACTAGGTAACAGGGGACTCTGTTCTCATTTCCTTGGGGTTCCTTACATGTTCTCGGGGCTCTGGGTCGTCCAGCTCACTCCGCTTCTCACTGGGGTATCCGCTGTCTCCACTGTTCTCAGAGTCCTGTGGAGAAAAGATGGCCCTAGGGTCTCAGTGGTCCTCTGAGTACCTGGTGGTGGTGATATCTGGAATCCCAGCCATTTGCTTTCTCTCCTTTGTCCCATCATCCCACAACATTCTCTTCCTCCTACCCTTGCTGGTTGGGTGACAAGGGAGCGGTAAAAAAATAGTGGTGAAGAATGTGGGCTCTGGAGCCAGACTGCCTAGGCTCAAATCCGAGCTTTGTAACTCACCAGCTATGACTCTGGACAGCTGCTCAGCCTCTCTGAGCTTTGGTTTCCCTAGCTATGGGGATTCATTATAGCTACCTACATCAAGCGGCTGTGAGGATGAAATGAGATGTCACACTCAGAGTGTGGATCATAGTAAGTGCCATTGTTAAGAGTGACTCACCCATTTCACAGGCAGAAAAACAAAGCCTGGCTTAAAGGATATGACCCATGGATAAAAATGCAGCATTGGAGACGCAGACCTACTAGAGAATGGACTTGAGGACATGGGGAGGGGGAAGGGTACGCTGGGACAAAGTGAGAGAGTGGCATGGACATATATACACTACCAAATGTAAAATAGATAGCTAGTGGGAAGCAGCCACATAGCACAGGGAGATCAGCTCGGTGCTTTGTGACCACCTAGAGGGGTGGGATAGGGAGGGTGGGAGACGCAAGAGGGAGGAGATATGAGGACATATGTATATGTATAAGTATAGCTGATTCACTTTGTTATAAAGCAGAAACGAACACACCATTGTAAAGCAATTATACTCCAATAAAGATGTTTAAAAAAAAATGCAGCACTGCGAACAATTATTTACTACAACTAAGCCCTCTGCCAAAACCACACACATCACCTGGGCATATTTTTTATTCTTCTAGATCTGAGTTCTGTTGTGAAAAGGAACCTGGTATAATTTAGAATCTCTAAAACTTCAGTCATTTTTCTACCAACGTTGAATTCTGGCTATATCCGCATGTCACCTGCATCACTGTTCAGCTAAAACTTCGGACGCACAGGCTCAGTGGCCATGGCTCACCGGTCCAGCCACTCCGTGGCATGTGGGATCTTCCCAGACTGGGGCACGAACCCGCGTCCCCTGCATCGGCAGGCAGACTCTCAACCACTGCGCCACCAGGGAAGCCCTTAAGTCAATATATTTTTAAAAGACGCTTGGTATCACTACCATAAGTGTAAAACCTGGATCAGTCTCCTAGACAGATGGGCACCATGGAACATACACAATGGAATCCTTGGCCTCTGGTCTGGCCAGGATCCACTCCACCTGAAGGAGCTGCGTTATTCTACAAAGGCCCCTGCCCTGGTTTCTAGAAGCACCACAGGCTTCTTACTGCCCTCCCCCAGGTCTCTGTTCTGTGTGAGCCAAATAGCTGTTCTTTTTTTTTTTTTTAACTATTTCAATTTTTTAAATTGAGGTATAATTTACAGACAACCAAACTGAAGTGTTCAGTGTGCTGAGCGAAAGGCTTTTTCTGAAACTGGATCACAGGCTATACCTAAAAGCTCCAGGCAGCCCCCTCCTCGCACCCACTCTCTGCATGACCTTGGGCCCCGTGTCCCACCCTTGGGAACCACTCCCAAGCTGGGCAACAGAGAGCCTCACTGAAACCCCAGCTCTGCACTCCCCAGGTCAGACCCTGGGCAAGGCAGCTAACCTCTCCAAACCTCAGTGTCCTCATCTGAGAAATGGTGGAGAATAGAAGCAAAGGGCAGCAGTACAGAGGGTGGGTTCGAGGCCAGATGGCCTGGGTTTGAACACTGGCTCCATCACTGAGTGACCATGAGCAAGTGGCTTACCTTTCTGTGCCTCAGTTTCCCCGTCTCTAAATCAGGGATAATGAGGGCACTGTCTAAGCAGCTGCTAATGCTGGGGATAAGCAGGTGGCTGAGGGGACAGGTGGGAGGGAGACTTTTCACCTTGTAATTTTCTGAATCTTTTCCTTTTCAACCTACGCTGAAATTCTAAAATTCATCCTAGCTCTAGAGTAAAACATAAAACCTATTCCAAAAGGAATAAAAACTATTATCTACTTATCTCATAAGTTGTTGTGAGGATTAGATGAGAATTATCTACCAAGCTCTTAAAACAGTGTCTGCCCATAGTGATGATTCCATATGTGTCAGCTATTCCTATTTTTTGTTCCCGCTCAAGAACTCTGAAAAGCTGTCAGGAGTGAAGTTGAACCTTTGGAGCTGACAGTGCAGCTTAAGATGCTGTGGCCTATGCAAGTGTGACGTGTCTGTGAAGTCTGTTTAAAACATTTTAATGAATTTTTAATTTGACACCATAATATGTTTGTCTGAATGCAAAGATGTCATCTACAAAGATGTCATGACATGTAGATGTCATCTACATTACTGCTAGTCACGCAAAGGCTGCAGGAAACCTGTTCTGCTTATCCAAGCTGTGAGCATCACAGCTACCTGTGCTGTAAGTTACACATCGGAGACCCAACGTAGCCCCCTGTCCCCCAAGATAGCTTGGCTGCACGTTGTGCGGCCAAACCCAACCCAGGGCCAAGCTCATCATGTACCAGAAGGCTGCATTATTGCTGATTTGGATTCTCTCTGCTTTAACCACCTCCAGGAACTGGAATAGACCCAGTTCTTCCCAGACAAAATGCTGCCCTGGGCAGGAGGCTGGGATTCCCCCCTATGCACCCGTATCCTGCTGCCAGTACCCGGAGCAGACCTGGGTTACCCACCTCTGAATCTGAGGTCTCATCCTCAGTTCCTGGGGGAGGGAGGCCCCTCCTCCCCGCCCTGGTCCTCCACCTCCTCTACTCACCCGGTGGTTGTCCAGAGGGTCATGGTCTCGGGGTGCCAAGTTATCGAGGTCGCTGAACACAGGCCAATCTGAGCAGGGAGAAAATGGAGGAAGGCACCAGCTCCATCGCTAGAACAGTTCACAAGACCCACCTACAGCCTACAGCTGCCACCAAGCCTTTTTTATTTTAAATTTATAAAGTACAAAAATGGGTGAAGAATGTATGTTGTCAGCACCTGGGGGGGACACAATTCTTCCTCGAGAACTCACCCAGAGTCTCTACTTGCCAGCTGTGGGGTCCTGAGCAAGCAGCTTAACAGGTGTGCCTCCTTGGGGTTGTCATAATGTAAATACAATTGTGTCATGTATTGATAAGCACCATGTGCTTGACCTATGGTCAAACCTCAGTGAGGTGCAGTTGTGAAGGAAGGAAAGCCATTTGTATATTTGGGGCCCAATGAGTAGCTACAAATGGGAGAAGCCTTAGATGGCTTAAAAACCAACCATCCCAGTCTTTATCTGCTGTCCTAAGCTGTCACTAGCCAAATCTGGCCTGTCTCCTATTCTCATATGGTTTTTAAGAATGCTTTTTACATTTTTAAATGGTTGAAAAAAGTCAAAAGGAGAATAATATTTTGTGATATGTGAAAATTATATGAAATTTAAAATTCAGTGTCCATAGAGTTTTACTGGAACACAGCCGCATCTATTTGTTTTAAGTATTGTCAATGGCTGCGTTTATGCTGCAAATGCAGAGACCACATGGCCTACAAAGTCTAAAACATTTATTACTCTCTGGCCTTTTAAGAAAAGGTTTGTCAACTCTTGCTTCAGACTATTCCCCAGGCTTTCAGTGGTGATTTACAGGCTTCTTTAATATCTGACATTAAAATTCTCCTCTCCTGCTTCCCTGGGGCCTCCTCCAGCTGAATAAATGGCCCCATCGTCCTGCCAGTTCTTCAGATAAAAACCGTGGAGTCAGCCTTGCCTCCCCTCTTTCCTGCAGACCCTGCGTCCATATCATGAGCAAACTCTGTCACTTCAACTTCGGAAATAATGATGCCCATTTTTCTCCTTTGACCTGTTCATATGATGTTAATTGGTTTCTGAACACTGAACAACTTTCAGATTCCTGCAAAAACCCTATTTGGCTGTGACAGACGATTCTTTTAAGGTACTAGTCTTCCCCCCCCCCCCCCCCCCACACACACCCCCCCCCCCCCCCCCCCGATCAGGGATTGAACCCACGCCCCCTACAGTGGAAGTGAGGAGTCCTAACCACTGGATCGCCAGGGAATTCCCTAATATACTAGTTTTTATTTGTTAATACTTTATTTAGAATTTTTGCCTTGTATATTTATTTATTTATTTATTTATTTTTAAATTTTAAATTTATTTTTGGCTGCATTGGGTCCTCGTTGCTGTGCACGGGCTCGCGGGTTCTAGAGCACAGGCGCAGTAGCTGTGGCTCGCGGGCTCTAGAACACAGGCTCAGTAGTTGTGGCGCACGGGCTTGGCTGCTCCACAGCATGTGGGATCTTCCCAGGCTAGGGCTCGAACCCGTGTCCCCTGCATTGGCAGGCAGACTCCCAACCACGACATCACCAGGGAACCCCTGCCTTGCATATTTATACCTGAGGTTGGGATATGGTTTTCTTTTTTGGTGTTTTGTCAAATTTTGGTATAAAAGTTTTCGCTAATTTCATAAAACACTCTGAAAAATGTTACCCTGTTTTCTACAACAAAGGCTGTTTTTACAGCATTTGGATGACTGCATCTTGAAAGCTGATTCAAAAGAACTCACCCGTAAAACCATCTGGGCCATCAATCTTTTTGGTTGGCATGTCTGATTTTCTAACATAAGTGAAAGCCAGTTTAGCCCTGTTTTACCTGTGCTCGTCCCCTCCAATCACAATGCCCAGGGGCCAAACCATCACTCACGAAGGTGGTCCAGTTTCTGGCTGTGCGGCGTGGCAGAAGATGGCGAGGAAGGGAGAGAGTCAAAGGTTATGTCACTCATGTTCTCATCTCCAGAGTTCTCTGAGAGGCGAAGGAGCAGGGGGGGCCGGCTCCCCGAGAGGGTCCTCACCCGGGGGCTCCCGCACTTTTCCTCTGTCCCCCTCAAGATGGTCTGGGCTGATTGCTGGAGAATTAACAGGGACATGCACGTCACACAGGCACCCTCTGGGAACGAGGGGCTCTTCCTGTTGCCTACTGTTCCCTCAAAACCTGAGGCCCTTTCAGCCACAGCACCCACCTGTGCCTATCAAGGGACTGGCAAAAAACCTAAAACGAATCAGTGGGGGCTTAACCCAAAGGCTTCTAAGAAGGGGCATCCGGAACAGAAGCTCAGAGGGCCAGCATTCCCAGAAGCGCTGCCCACGCTTTACAGCCCTGAGCTGGGGGATACATTCCAGAATCCCAAGCTGCTCTTTGACAATATTGTCTTATGTCTGGTCCATGCAGTGGGGGTGGGGATGGGGGCACATCCTGGACACGGCGAGGTGCTCAGTGAGCCAGGTCCAAGTCTAGTCCAGCCGTTTGCCAACACGTCACACGAAGCATATTCCACACTCCCCACCCGCTATCTGTACATACCTGGTCCCCTCACCCTGGGCGAAAATGGGCCCAAATCAAGCAGACCCCAGTTCCTCTATTAGTGGGGATATTCAGGAGGGCTGTGTGCATTGGCTCAAGAGGGACGAGGGACACAGACAGGACTACGAGTCTTCTGGCCCCAGTACTCTTGAATTAAGCATTGCAAGGCCTGAGCCACCAGCACACAGGAAACACAGTTTGCGGGTCCTGGTAGCAGAAGGGTCCTGCCAGTCTGAGCAGGTTCACGCGGGGTACCCACCAGTAGCTTGATGTTCTGAGTCACCGCGTCCCTCTCTCTTGGGGAGAGGTCGAAGGGAGCGAGGCCCATGCTCTTGCAAATCCGGTTGCAGGCATGAGAGTGGAAGAAGAGAGCCATCCCGCGGACACCTGCAGACACAACAGAGCAGGGGTTCTGGAGCACTGCTCTGCTTTGGGGTGGGGGCAGGACGGTACTGAGCACCCTAAATGCGGCAGGGGCAGGCGTAAAACATGCTAAACTGGCGGGAGCCAGAGGCCCCAGGCTCCCATCTCCACAATCTTGGGGCGCCCCATATATCACCTCGGCCTGCCTTCTTGGGTGAACAAAGAGCCCGGAGATTTTGTGGGGAGTGTGGTCTCCGTGGACACGCTGGCTTTCCCTGCCTACCTAGGTTGCCATCTCCAAAGTCAGTGCCCCTCTCGGTGTGGATCTGTGGGTCGGTGTAGAGGTCACCCACACCCTGGACGTCCACCACAATCAGCTGGTGGCCGGAACGCTCAAAAGTGAAGTGGCTGAAGGCCTGTGGGGTGACATGAAAGAAAAGGTGACCACAAGAGACCAGGCTGTGGGCTGTACAAACGCTGGCAGGCATTGCTCTGAGAGGTTTCAACACCCCACCTCTGCCCATGTTGGGGGCCTTTATCTGCAGGGAGGAGTTGTACAGAGGCAAAGACAAAGGAAGGAGCCCTGCCTAATTCAGAGGGACCCGAGGTCTGCTGAGACGGGGCACAGGCCACTGCAGGGGCCTCACCTGCGGTGTCAGGCGCATGTTGTCATCGCGGACGAAGCCTGAGTTGGAGTTGTACTTGATGTACTTGCCCTCGATGTAGTGCTCTAGGTGGAAGAGAGGCCGGCCCAGCCTTTCCTTCAGCTCTATGATGCACATCTGCATGATGTCCACCTGGCGGGAAGGTGGGAGGGGGGTCAGAGGGAGGACCCAGCGGAACTCTCCTCTGATAAGAGGCTGGAGCAGAAAGGCTGAAACTGCTGACTGTCCCCAGAATCCATTCCCCTCTTCCTTTGAGAATGAAAACCCCTGCTGCGGCCTGAATGTAGCCCCCCAAATTTCACAGGTTGAAATCTCAATCCTCAAAGGTGATGGTATTAGGAGGTGGGGCCTTTGGGAGGTGATAAGGTCATGAGGGAGAAGCCCTCATGAATGGGATTAGTGCCCTTATAAAAGAGACCCCATAGGGCTTCCCAGGTGGCGCAGTGGTTGAGAGGCCGCCTGCCAATGCAGGGGGCACGGGTTCGTGCCCCGGTCCGGGAAGATCCCACATGCCGCGGAGCGGCTGGGCCCGTGAGCCATGGCCGCTGAGCCTG